TGCCTTTCAAACCCAGGCCCAATTTGTCTTTGCAGCCTCATCTCCTGCCAATATCCCTCTCAAACCAATCCTTATAGGCTACTAACGATCTGAAAACCCAACGTGCACTTTAGCATCTTTGAGCTTGCTTGTGTTGCTTATTTATTCTGCCTTGGATACCTCTCCTGATGTCCTCCACCTGGGACTTCCTACTCATCCCTCCAGCTTCAAGAGTCATCTCTCAGAAGCCCCTGCCTTAGGCAGAGGGTGCCCCACTGCTCTTTGCCCTAGGGTTGCAGTCCCCAACTCCCAGGCAGTGGACTTATACTGGTCCATGGCCTGCTAGGAACCAGGCCGCACAGCAGGCGGTGAGCAGTGGATGAGCAAGTGAAGCTTCATCTGTATTTACAGCCACTCCCCATTGCTCACATCACTGCATAAGCTCCACCTCCTGTCAGGTCAGTGGGCATCACATTCTCCTAGGAGTGTGAACCCTAGGGATCTGGGTTGTGCACTCCTTATGAGAATCTAATGCCTGATGATCTGAGGTGGAGCTGAGGCGGTGATGCTAGTGCTGGGGAGCGGCTGCAAATACAGATTAGCCTTGGCAGAGAGGTTTGATGGCACAATAAATGTAATGTGCTTGAATCTCCCGAAACCATCACCCACCCCACCCCTAGCCGTCCATGGAAAATTTGTCTTCCATGAAACCAGTCCTTGGTGCCAAAAAGGTTGGGGACCACTGCTCTAGGGTACTCTGGTCCTCTCTCTCGTAGAACTTACTGCAGTACATCATAGTCAGGAGCAAGTCTGCCCGCCCCACTCAGCCACAAGCCTCCTCAGGGCAGGGGCCACATCTTTTCATTTTTGCATTCCTAGTTCCTAGCACAGTATCTGACTCATAAATATCTGTTGAATGAATAAACAGCACATGACTGACAGAATAATGTGGGGTTTTTTTTGTTTTGTTTTGTTTTTGCCACGAAGCCCTGTATGTACAAAACTCTACTTCACAAATGGATATACTGCCGAGCTTAAATAACTTGCTCTCCCAGCACATGTGTGAATAAAAAGGGTTCGACTTACAGAAACTGGATTTAAGTACAACTTTTTGGTATATCTCTACCAGAAAAAGAAGCAAAGCACATTGTATGAACCTTAGTTCTTACCAGTAACACCAGCTGTGCAGCCCTGGTGGCAGGGAGCACGGAGCGGAAGAAACTGTCAACAGGGCTCCACTACAGCGCACACGAGATGTAGACTGAAACTCCACTGCTTCCCCTCTAAGATGAGAGGAAGGGTTTGAAACTTTAGCTACAAAAGGCAGGTGGAATCAAGGGATCGCTTGATATTCTGACAATCCTAATTTTATTAAGCCTCTAAATAACTTAGATCTTTAGCAGTAATTTACCTCGACAAAACAAGACCTAACTCAATAAAGGAGCAAAAAAGCAGCACCAGCTCTTCCGCCACCTAGGAAGGGCAGGGATGGTCTTTATTTAACATTTTACAACTGATTTACAGACACCTTAGCTCCTCTCTATAGATGAGAAAGACCTGGTTCACTACCTAAGACAGTATTTAAAAACCAGTGTAGATTCTCTCCACCAGGGACTATCAGTAGCTACAGAAATAGCCAAACTGAAAGGTTAGTGAGTGTAACTAACATTGCTCCATGCTACTTCTTGTCCAACAACTCTAAGGCATCTTCCAAGCATTACATTCCTCTAAAGTCAGAACTGTCCCTGCTTTTCAAGTAGGCAATTTGAGAGCCTGAGTGATAAGCTTACCAAGGTTACAAAGAGTTTAATGGTAAGATATAAATAAAATGTGAAATTACATGCCTGTAATCCTAGCACTCTGGGATTCCAAGGTGGGAGGATTGCTTGAGGTCAGAAGTTTGAGACCAGCCTGAGCAAAAGCAAGACCCTGTCTCTATTAAAAATAGAAAGAAATTAGCTGGGCAACTAAAAATAGAAAACATCAGCCAGGTGTGGTGGTGCATACCTGTAGTCCCTGCTACTCAGTAGGCTGAGGCAGGAGGATCGATTGAGCCCAGGAGTTTGAGTTGCTGTGAGCTAGGCTGATGCCATGGCACTCTAGCCCAGGAAACAAAGCAAGATTTTGTCTTAAAAAACAAAACAAAACATGAAATCTTGATTCCAACTCTCTTTCACCATCTTTTTGCATATATAAAATCTTCAAATCTGATCCTTAAGGCTTGATAATAAATGTGGCTTTAATGGATTATCCTAAGTGGTAGCTAGCTCTGTAGTGCTAAATGTTGCTCAGCCAAATGATATGCTTTTTGGTCTGCTCATTCAAAAATGATAGGAAATCCCAGAGATCCCAGAAGCCGGGAAGTCTGCGGCATTTATACCTTAAATATAGCACTTGGTTTCAACATATTTCACTGCCCATATTCATTCTGCCTGGGAAAAAAGCTGCTCTTGCCGAATGCTGCTGGATGGCTTTAAAAGGCTGTTCTCTCTCTTTGTAACCTGACCTCATGTGCTGACACCCAGATCTGTTACTAGAGAGTGGAAGTCAGTTCTTCAGAACTCAAGCTACATGTCAATCTTCAATCTCTGGGCCTTCCCCTAAACAAGTGTGATGTGCAGTAATGGCAAAACCCAGAGGTCAGCCCAGCAGATGGAATTACACACCGAATGCAAACACTCTGAAGAGGTGCTCCAAGGGAACATATCACGGCCACTTGTTCTACTTTTAGATATCTATCAATATCTCACAAATTGCATTTGACGACTTATACAAACAGACTCGTGAACAGAATGTGGGCAGAGTTCCTGTGTACACCTGACCTTATTAGCAGAAACGGCAGAGGGCTGAGGCTCTGGAGCTGGACTGCTGGGTTCAAGTCCTGATTCAATCCCTTAAATGTTTTGAAGTCTTTATTTCGACTCTTTGTTTTCCACCTGTCAAATGAGGACCTTCCTCATTATGATGTGAGGACAAAATGAGATAACACATACGAAGAGCTTAGAACAACCAGATCTAGAAAATAGCAAGTGTTATTGCTAATACAATATTATAGTAATTACAATGACTAATAGATGTTAGCCATTCTCGTTATTAAATAATAAGATATAAATAATAATAATATAATTAAATATTAATGGTAACCAAACCTGGCCAAAAAAGTTATTTTTTAATTAAAGCTCACAATGGAAGACCATCACCAGATAAATCTTCCTAAAAAACAATTTATCAGATGGGCGCAGTGGCTCAGGCCTGCAATCCCATCACTTTGGGAGGCTGAGGCGGGAGAATAGCTTGAGGCCAGGAGTTCAAGACTAGTCTGGGCAACATAAGTGAGACCCCATTTCTACCAAAATAAACTAATAAGTAAAATTAGCCAGGCGTGGTGGTGTGTGCCTGTAATCCCAGCTACCTGGGAGGCTGAGCCAGGAGGGTTGCCTGAGCCCAGGAGTCTGAGGTTTTCAATGAGCTATGATGATGCCACTGAACTATAGCCCATGCAGTAGAAGGAGACCCTGTATAAATAAATAAGTAAATAAACAAACACACAATTTCTCCAGGTCAGTCACCTGCCTAAAAATCTTAAATATTCCCCATAACCTACAGGAGAGAGTCAAAAACCTCTTAAGGTACAGAGCCTCCACCTACTGTTCAGATCTTGTTTCACCATCAGGCCAGACTCATTGCTTTATTTGTTCCAGGGAGGAACGAAGCATGCTCATTTCAGCTCTGTATCCACAGTTCCAACCACAGTACCTGGCACGAAGTAGTTGCTCAGTAAATGTTTGCTGATTCAACGACAACGTGAATGCTTTTGGACCTGTGCTGTCTGTGCCTCACTCCTGGAAAGCTCCTCTCCCAACACCCGTCCAACCAGTCATCCTTCAAAGCCCCTCTCAGCTCCCTCCGCCTCTTCTCAACACAGCCCCAAGCACCCTGCCCTAGCCATTCTCTTCTCCTATTCTCCATTCCCATAGAATTCAACCGCTTTGGATGTTTATTGTTATTTAAATATTTCCTGTTTATACGTTTTGTCTGCCCACTACAGAGGAAGTATCTTGAGGAAGGCAGAATATTTTGTTTGAGGAAGCGAGAAGCAGTGGAAAAGTAATTGATCCGTGGCCAGGCAAACCCAGTTATGTGACCTTGAGAAAAGTGTATAGAAAACACTCAGAACAGTGCCTAGAACGTGGTATGCACTTCATAAATGCCTGCTACAATCATTATTCGTCTCTTGGAACCTCAGTTCTCGCTTTATCAAATGGGAGTAATAATAAGATCCTGTCAGGTGGGTCTTCATAAGGAGTAGGAATAACATCTGAAAAGTCTCTAGGACCTTCCTAGCACACAGCAGCCACTCAACAGCTGCCTGCCAGCTGTTACTACAAAGCCTCAAGCTGGGTGCAGGGAAGGTACTCGATTCAGTTTAGGGGATGAGCTGAAGGAACTGAGAGCCTATTCTCATATCAACTCAGGTATCAAAGTAAACTTCTTCAGTCATTCATTCAATAAATGTTTATTAAGGCCTTATCATTGTGCCAGGCTTTGTTCTAGGTCTGGGATCCCACTGCATAAATAGTCCTTACCCAGTGAAATTTACATTCTAACGGGAAAGGCAGACAATAAACAGAGAAACAGGCAGACAATAAAAAGAGAAAGAGACAAATCAGTGAAAGCTTGGTATTAACTGCCATGAAGAAGAGCAAGGTGAGTGCTGGTGGGCGGGGCTGGAAAAGAGCTGCCTGAAGAGGGGCCCTTCAGGCAGAGGTCTGTATCCTCAGGAAAGCTTAATTTTGTGAGAGTCACCCTCACCCTCACACAAACTCTATGAGCCCCTCCGCAGGTCTCCCCTAGAGCCAGGAGCTCCAATACAACCAGAGAGACTGTAGTCTGGCTCCTAATTCCTCTCTCACGCAGCCCAAGCTACAAACTCTGCTGCACCAGCAACTGCAAACTTATGTTTTGTAAGACTAAATTGGCCACTTAAGCCCCATGTGGAAGTAAATCCATTACAGCCATACCGCGACTGGTCTGTTCCCCAGAAAGTTGAGATCACTGTTCTCTCCAAACAGGTAACCTTCCGGATGGGTTGAGTCAAACTTCTCTCCTCCCATAATGAAGTGGTTGGCAAAATAGCTTCCTAGAGAGAGACAAACAGAAAAAATCAGACAAGCAGAAAGCAGTCAAACTTAGCCTAGTAAAAAAGCTGATTTTTTAAAATGCTAATGCTTTCAACAAATAATTAGAGCAAATTTCTACCCCCAGGAGTGTTTTCTTTTCCTGATTTGGGACAATAGCACAAAATAAGATCATAGAAGGGAGAACCCAAGATACTAAACATAAAACAGATCATTGTTTTCCTTTTAACATTTTTAACTGAAACCTTATCATGATCTAAAATACCACCAGCCAAAAGATGTACATTAATGACTCTGTAGTTTTTGTTCTTTTTCTTTCTTTCTTTTTTTTTTTTGAGACAGGGTCTCACTTTGTTGCCCAGGCTAGAGTGAGTGCCGTGGCATCAGCCTAGCTCACAGCAACCTCAAACTCCTGGGCTCAAGCAATTCTCCTGCCTCAGCCTCCCAAGTAGCTGGGACTACAGGCAAGCACCACCACATCCAGCTAATTTTTTCTATATATATTAGTTGGCCAATTAATTTCTTTCTATTTATAGTAGAGACGGGGTCTCGCTCTTGTTCAGGCTGGTTTCGAACTCCTGACCTCGAGCAATCCGCCCACCTCGGCCTCCCAGAGTGCTAGGATTAGAGGCGTGAGCCACCACGCCCGGCCTTGTTCTTGACTTTTTTCTTTTAAACTTGAAGTGGTCATTCTATGTTTTTGAGAATCTTGACTACAGGCATCAGCGCGTATATACACTGTGATGTGAAATATATATTTTGCCTTTGTCCCTATTTCTTGGTGTACAACTTTTAAAATCCTTGGAATCTCCAAAGTGATGTCTTTCTGTATGCTAATGAGCTGACTGATGGCTGGCAGCCTCTAGGTAGCTTCAGGATGCAGAATGGTCACTGCAAATGGCAGGATTAGAGGGTTAGGACTTTCCTTCCACCCCTCAACCTCTGGGGAGGGGAGAGGGGCTAAAGGTTAAGTTGATCACCAGTGGCCAATGATTTAGTCAGTCATTCCTACGTAATGAAGCTTCCATAAATGACCTCCATAGTGAAGCTTCCATAAATGGAGGTTCCTGGAAGTTGAAGAGCCTGGAGGAAGCATGAAAGCTATGAGCCCCTTCCCATCGTAACCTCACCCTATGCATTTTTAAAATCTGTATCCTTTGTAATAATATCCTTTATAATAAACCAACAAGCCTAAATGTTTCCCTGGTTCTTTGAGCCAGTCTGGTAAGATTATTGAACCCAAGGAGGGGGGCATGGGAACCCCAATTATAGCTGGTTGGTCAGAAGCGCGGGCAAAACAACCTGGGGCTTGCGATATGCATTGGACGTGGGGGGTGGTCTTGAGGTCCAAGCCCCTGTGGGAGCGACGCTATCTCCAGGTAGATGGTGTCAGAATTGAGTTGAATTAGAGGACACCCAGCTGGTAGCCACTCCAGAATTAATTGATTACTTGCTGGTGAGAAGAAATCCCCACACATTTTTATGGCCAGAGATTACAGAAGTCTTCTGTGTTGATTGTGTTGTAAGAGCACAGAAGAAACTGAGTCTTCCTATGTCCTCAGACACACACATACATTTCTTGGCCTAGATTGTCATAATCCAGTTTATACCTACACATAGAAGTCTCAGTACCCACCTACTACTACTTCTATACTTCTATAATCCTCTGTGATGAAGGTTCTTCACTTGAACATGCTATACAACAGAAGATTGTTTCACAGAAAAAAATGAATTTACACAGTACAGCTTTTCCTGGCTCTACCTACCAGTTCCTATATAGACAATGGTGTTCAGTAAGGGGACAGCATGGTGCTGTGAAAGGAGGCTACGCACAGTCCCCCTCAGCCTCAAATTCATCAACAGTGCTAATGGCCAGGGTTGCTGGCACATCAGTCATGGCAGGTCCTCTCTGCTCCAGCCAGGTTAATCAGCCAGGAGGCAGGGACATTTGCGCTGCAGTGTAGTACCTGGATGAAATCAGCAGTCGGAGGTCAGAATTCTCATCAGCCTTATCCAGACAAACCAAGGAACTGTGCCAGGATGTGATGTCGCTGAGAAGTCACCAAGGGAAGCTCAGGTTAACACTGAGAATTCCACCTGGGAATACATTTGTATGTCTGTGCGTGTGTGTGTGCGCGTGTGTTTACAGAGGGGGTCTCATGCTGTGGCCCAGCCTGGAGTACAGTGGCGTGATGAAGCTCATTGCAGCCTCCAACTCCATGGGATCAAGGGATCCTCCCACCTTAGCCTCCCAAAGTGCTGGGATTATAGGAATGAGCTACCACGACTGGCCACATTTTAACTTTGATGATTAAATGAATGCCTCTTACTATAAATTTCTATAATCTAATTCTCCCATGAAAGTACACTGTCCAAAGTAAAGGACACATACTATAATATACCTTTATCAACTCTCTCATATACCCCAATTCTCAAATTCATACAAGGAATTTATGAAATGGCAAAAGGCTTGTTCACATGTCACACAGCTAGGATATACATAAACTCCCTAAGTCACTTGCAATTTGCATTGAAGATTTACAGCAAACTAAAAACAGGAGATTTAACACTTTGAGCCTGTGGGGATGCCATGGGAAGAAAGACAGAGAAGAAAATTCTAGCAAAAGCTGAACCAAACGTTCATTTTAAAAATTTTCTACACACAAAGCTTTAGACTAGAAACACCTATTAAACAAAACAATGTGGATAAAATCGCTCACCACAGAGTGAGGCACTTCTTGAATTAAATAACAAGCAGGAAAACATTATTTGCTATTAATAGCAGCCAAAATCAAAGCAATCACTGAGGAATTCTTCAAAGTTACCTATCAAAACTTAAAAACACAAAGAACAGCCATCTGCGGTGATACAACAGCACAATTCATCATCTAGGAAAACTAATTATCAATTATTTATGTTTAGACCTTGCTAGTCCTATTTTCCAAGTGCATAATTTATAGAGCAGGGAGGTGCCTAGTGGCCTTAAGTAGAAGCAGCCATCTCAAATAATTTAAGTCATTTACTGATGAACCTTAGTAAAATATATTTTCTATGCATTAGGGATTATATGTTTATTATACATTAGGTAAAATAGGAAAAGTCGAAGACGTTACATTGACGGATATCTTGCCAAAACGATGAACAAAGAATGGACAGAAGCAGGTTTTATGTCTGGAGTGGTCCAGGCTGACCTCAGTATGGGACTACAGAGTTTTAGCACCTGTGAAAACTTCAGGTGAGGGATCTGGGACAGTGAAATCCACAGACAATTGGCTTACAGGTGGCACTGCCTGAACCTAGCAAAAGAAGAGCACTACTGACTTGAGGGCTAATGGCTTAAAGCAGGTGACAAAGTTCTATTAGAAATGCCCTTTCTTGCCATAATATTAAAAGAAAAGAAATTATCAAGAAAGATGTATAGAGCTAATTATAGTTTTGCCTTGCATTAAATATCAAGAGCAATGATACACAAAAATCTAAAATTAGGATCAATAACTCACAGATTTAAAAAAGGATTTTTCATTTCAACAGAAGAGTCAATGCAAAGTTGCTTTAAAAAGCTGATCTAGGCTGAGGCAGGAGGATCCTTTGAGCTCAGGAGTTCGAGACCAGCCTGAGCAAGAGTAGGACCCCAGTCTCTACTAAAAATAGAAAGAAATTAGCTGGGCAACTAAAAATAGAAAAAATTAGCCAGACGTGGTGGTGCATGCCTGTAGTCCCAGCTACTAGGGAGGCTGAGGTAGAATCCCTTGAGCCCAGGAGTTTGAGGTTGCTGTGAGTTAGGCTATGCCACAGCACTCGAGCTTGGCAACATAGCAAGACTCTATTTCAAAAAAAAATAAAAAATAAAAAAAATTAAAAGCTGATATCAGGCACTTTGGGAGGTTAAGGCAGGAGGATTGCTTAAGACCAGGTGCTCGAGACCAGCTTGAGCAACAAGTGAGACCCCATCTCTACAAAAACATTTAAAAATTAGCCAGGCATGGTGGTGTCTGCCTGTAGTCCCAGCTACTGGGGAGGCTGAGGCAAGAGGATTGCTTGAGACCAGGATTTGGAGGCTGCAGTGAGCTATGATCATGCACTGCACTCCATCCTGGGCCCTGAGTGACAGAGTGAGACCCTTCTCTAAAAAGCTGACTCCTTTGGTGCACTTAAAATACAACTTCATTTATAAAAATTCAATATAAACAACTTTTCAGAAAAAAACCACAGTGAATAAAGTACTAGAGATAGCTGTACACTTATAACTGGGAATGATTTCCTCAAAATTGCAAAGGTGGCAAAAATGTTCTTTCAGTTAAAATTAGCTTGAAACCCTGTTTAATCACTCAGTAATTCTTTAACAACATTCACTTCTAAACTTTTGGCTATTAAGTGGAAGATACATAAAATGTTAAGAATTAAATGGTGAGGGGAAGCTTCTCTTTACAGAAATAGTCCAGCTAAGAAACAAAGAAGGAAAGATAGAATTAGAATATAACCCTTATTAAATTAATAATTTGGTGACTCATCAATCACCAACCCTCCTGCCCCCCAAAAGACAACCAGATACATGCCTACAGTAATGGAGAACACAAAAAAGCAGTCTTATCAAATACATACATATGTACAAATTTGAAGTTTTAAAAAGAAAATGAATTTGATCAAGTTGCTGGACTCAACCACCCCAATTTATATGAAATAGAACAGAACATGATTACTGGCAGTTCAGGGAGGCAATCAGCAAAATTTAGGCTGTGGAAAACTCTACAAATGACTAAGTTTCCTTAATGAATATATTGTAAGGGGCAGAATATGGCCACAGAAAACCCAAAGTACAAACTTTGTTTTAATCAATCCTTTAATTTCCACATATTTTATAGTATGCAATCAGCAAGGACTAGGACTTTCCTGGTCTCAGGTATTGTCCATGATCCTTCATTGGTTCTTCTAAAATAATTCTAAGAAATAAAATACAAGGAAACAATAGACATTGAAATCATATGGGTTCATAGAAACACTA